ACCACTACTACTAACAATGTAATTAATAGCTAACTTTAATTAAACATTTATTATACATAAAACCCAACATAGAGTATTTAACAAATATTACTTCAATAACTTCTTACAATAAAGCAATGATATCCTATGAAGTTTTTATTTATGGTGGGAAACTGAGGCATAGAGGGGGCTAGGTGAGGGGCAGAAAATGAGTTTCAATCCCAGCCAATTCTGGGCCTTTGCTCATAGGCACTACTTGATTGCAACTTCATCTTCACAACCCAGGCTACCAGATGGCTGAAAACAACAGAAATTAGTTTTTGGTGATGTGAGAAATGAGTCCCCAAGGGCAAGCTGTACTGCCGTCTGACTTCCTTCATTAGTGTTCAGGGTGGCAACATTAGATCACACGTCGGTAGGCTTAAGTGGGGAGTGAATTACTCACAAATTTCATCACAGAGGTTATGCACTGATTACAAATAGCAGGGTTTATAGTCTGACTGTGAATTTCTTCTTTTTTACTCACTTGTTTAGGCTGTCCCTGAGAAAGTATGTGTCTGGGGGAAGGAGGAGGACAAAAGAGCATGAAGGAGTTCAATAATGAATTTTATCTTTTCTCATTCTTACTGCCCATTAGGGACTCTGTGTAGTGACGAATAAAACAGGAACATTTTCTGCTTGCAGAAGCAAGCACCTGACAGCCAAACGATCCCTGCAAATCTTCATTAGGAGACACTGATGGTACTTGGGCAACTGACTGGTTCAGAGTGTGACACGGAGGAAGCAGGATGAGGACTCTCTCCACCTCAGCATTCCACTCTTGTAGGGCCTCTGGGTAGGGGACCGGTCATTACAAGTCAAACCCAAGGGCAGCAGACTGTAGCTGATTCCAAATATTTAGCAATCTCTATTTACAGAGTTCCTAATCCTCCTTTTGGCTATTGGGGTTAAGGGTCGTTTTCTCAAATTCACACACTGTCTTGCAATATGTTCTCACAGACTTTTGCAGTGAAAACCTGAAAGATCATATATATTTTACAGGGAAGAATATCAGGCACAGAGAAAAATGATGGCTTGTTAAGGACGAGCCCATCAAGAACTATGGCTGGACTTAGAATTCAGAGCTCCTGAATGTCCGATTGTTCCATTGTTTGGAGTTCACAGTTACTAACTCTCAGATGAGTAGGCTAGTGCTCTGAACATCTTCAAAACAACTGCAATGAACTATAAATCAATGATAGTGTTTCAGAACAAAATGTGGACATACTAGGTGCCATCCTCAACAATCCAAAATCTATCACAGAAAGCTATATAGTCATTCTAAGATTCCGCATTACTAAAGTTGTAGTTACATCTGAATTGCAACACAGGACACAGTGTGAGGAGAAGAAATATAGATATGTTGTGATTTTTTTTTTAAGTCTCTATATCCCTAATATAAAACCATGCACATTTATAAAACAGAAAAAAAATCCACAACTAAAAAAAATCCCAGAGAATTACTACCTGTGGTACAATTGACTGACAATCTCTCTCTCTCTTTTAAATAAAAGGACATAGAGCAAAGACTTTGCATTTACATGTCACACCAGTTAAGCCACTTGCTCAATTTCACATACACAGGTACTGATAAAGTTGGGAATAAAATCTAGAATAATTGACTGCAGGGCTATGTTCTGGCCACCAAACCACACTGCATCTCCTAATTAAGGACAATCTATTCAAGTACTGAGTCTCAGAGACTGGAGATAGAGAAAGTGTTCATGCTGAATAGTTAGGAATGTAACCACGTTGTATTCCATGTGCCTCTGGATCACTTTCAGTGGGTCTTACTTCATCATTTGCTTTCCTACTTTTATTTTATTTTGTACTAGCTTCTTCCCATAAGCATGTACATATGATACAGTCTTTTTTGTTGTCAAAAGAAATTTCTCCCTAAACTCTTTTTCACTTCTGTTCTTTTTTTTTTTTTTTCTTTTTTCCTGTGACTTAGCTTTCAGGAGATCCTGAGAACATGTGTCCCTTTTTTATTTTTTATTTTTTCCCACCTTATTTACTTTCAATCTCTCTTTCCAAATCTCTTGAGGGAATTGTCCTACACCACATCGTCATCTTCCATCCACACCTCAACCTTGAGTGCAATCTGGATTCTCTCCTTAACCTCAAATGAAATTACTGTCAGGAAGCTCACCAATTATCATATTGTTTCTAGGTCTATGGACAATTTCTGTTATCTTGTTTTTCTCTGAACTGTTTGGCTCTGTTGATACTCCTTTCAGTTGTTATTTTTTATTTCCCTTGGTTTCTAGGACACCAAATTTAACTGCTTTTCCTCTTATCCTTATAGTCAGCCTTCTCAGATTAACTCTTAGGCTTATCTTGTCCTTTCCTTAACTATCTGTATTTAAGAGTTTGATCACTTACCTCTTTCTTCATCTCAATCTATACATTCATCAAAGGATCTTACCTATTTTCTAGCTTCAGAAGCTAAAGCACCACCTGCAGCCCAGATTTTTTTCATTATTGTTATACCTACATTCCAATGGACTATTCTGTATCTCTACTGTTTGCCTCACAGACACCCAAGATTCAAACTCAGGACTAAAGTCATTATCTTCCTTCCCACAAAACACTTGTGTTTTATTATCTCAGTTAACAGTGTCATCAGGTAGAATTGTCTAAGCAAAAAAAGCAAAGCATCTCCCTTGACTGCCGTCTCCCCTTCACTACACTCATAAAAAATTGATCCTCATGTTCTGTGGTTTATGTCATGTTCTGTGGTTTATGTCATGTATTGAGGATCAATTTTATATTATATGAGTGTGATGTATATACGCATATATATACACGCATATATATGTATATATAAAAATATATATGTATATATACCTGTGTGTGTGTGTGTGTATGTGTGTATATATATATCAGATTCATTCTTTACTCCCAGTCCCTACTCCCACTAACCTTGTTTCAGACATTAACATTTCTTTCTGGGAAGGCCTAAATTACTGAAATGAGAAAATATTAAAAATGGTTTCTTTGTCTCTAGCTTTCCGCTCTTCATGCCCACTGCCACACATTCACCACACTACAATCAGATATTTTTTTCCTAAATTGCAAATGTGAATGTAATATCTCTTGATTAATCTCATTGTCCTCAAGATAAAATCCGAACTTTTAAATATGGTTTAATAGGTCATTCATGATTGGCCCTGCTTATCTCTCCAGCTTCATTCCCTACTCCATTTGCATTGCATCATCCAGTGGCATCAGGCAAATTTTGGCTTCTGGAAGTGCTCTCCTCACACTCTGGCATTTGAGATTATATTTCTTCCTACATGAAATATTCTTCTTTCAACTCTTCATGCAATTACCCTCTTCCCCTTTCAAATTTCAGCTTGTCAGCTTGTCTCCTTACTTGTTTGCGAAAGACTTTCCTGTTGTTCCCCACCCTGCTGCCTCCCACTCTGTTCCTGGATCCACACTGGGTGAAATGCCCTGCTGTGTTCTCACCTCATGCCCCACTCCTGAGGCCATATTGGGTGAAATGCCCTGTGTCTCACCCTCACAGCACTGAACCGTGACAGCCGGGTTACTTACCTGTGCCTTTCACTAAACCATAAGAGCCACACAGTGTTTTCTGAACCACTGAATCTTACAGAGCATGGTGCTTAGAACATAGTAGGTGCTCAAAAAGTGCTTGAAAAAAATTCACTTAGTTTTTCCTAACTTTTTACTTCACTCAAGAAGGGTATCTCACAGAATTTTTGTCAGAAAGGAGTAAGTTTTCATTTTGAATGAGTAAAATGGAGCTCTTATCAATATTTATTTAGCTACCCCTTTAGTCATCTATTTCCCTATCAACTTATTTGACTCTTAATAAAAAACATTAACCATGAGGTAGAGAAGTGTCTGTATATTTCAGGAACATAGCAGCCAAGAAGAACTTGGTGTCTAACTTCCTCAACTACAGGCTTTTTTCTGAGTTTTAGTGTCTTTGTTTCTTTTTCTGTGAGGAGGAAGAAGTAGATAGATAGATATAGATGTACCTTTCTTAGTGTAATAGTTTACTATTTCTTTCCTAGTTTCCCGTAGCCCTCCATAGAATTAAATTTAGATAATCACCAATAACATCAGGTGGCAATTCAAAAATTTTATTCTATTACCCCATAAAATCTTTATAAAAATCCTGGGAAGTAAAATGTATTATTATTATTATTATTATTATTATTATCATCATCATCATCATTATTACTACTATTACTACCATTTCCCACATGCAGGCAAAGGGGACAAAAATGGATAAATATCACATAGCTAATGAATAATAGAGGTAGAACCAAAACCTACAATTTGTATGTTTCACAAACTTTACTCTTCCTCTAGATCATATTCACTTCTGCAAAAGTGGTAGCGATCGTATTTTTTCCTTAGTTTAATTCTCAGTAGGAATGACTGCCTAGAAAGTACTGTTTAATATTACATACCTATTTGAATCAGCAAACGTAAGTTGTTTATTTTTCAAAATCACTGTAATATTGATTTATGCCGAATTCTTGGAACAACATAGTACTCTGTGTAGTGCTTTTTTTTCCTTTCTAGACAATCCCTTAACAATTCTTATTTACAGAATATTAGTGAGATTTATTATATTTTCCTAAATATAATGCCATGAACCATTTATTCAATGTTTTCAATCTATTCAGTTTCAGTGATAACTACATTTGTCTGGATTATTTTGTTTTTCTTACTGATTAATGAGAGCTACTTATATTGTAAGGAATTGACCTTTTGTTGTCATGTAGTCATATTTACAATTTATTCTTCGGCTCTGTCTTTTGTTATGATTATTTTTGTTTTGCTGTAGTTTAAAACTTCCTTGTTGTTGTATCTATTGATCTCTCTTTTGTTATTTCTTCCATTGCTTTCATGCATAAATAATCCTTTTCCAACATAAGAACAGTTAAATATTTATCTCTATTTCTTCTTTTTATTTTAATTGGTTCTTTTTTTATACTGAATTCTTAAAATCATACGAATTTATTTCTGGTATGAGAAATAATCAGTTTTTTCCTCCCTATAATTTTTTAGCCAATGTCTACAATACCATTTGTTGAATGATGTAAAGTGCATACACTCTTTTGGTTTTCAGAATTACCCTATAAAGTGCTACCAACCTGGCCAGCTCAGTATTTCTGGGAAACATGTAAATATAAACATTACTTACCATGCTAACTAATTCAACCAAAATATTTCTAAAATATATAATTAACTTTTTGGATACTATACTATTATGTGTTAATTTTAAAATTTGGATTATTAAATGGGTAATATTCTTTATTGAAATGCACATACATTCTGCATTACAAAATACACATTTCTTTCTTTTGTTTTTCTGAGCGCAGTGGAGCGATCATAGTTCACTGCATCCTCAAACTCCTGGGCTCAAGCGATTCTTCTACCCTGATCTCTCAAAGTGCCGAGATTACAGGCATGAGCCATTGCATTGGGCCTATATACTTTTTTCTATTTAGTAAAAATTGAATGGTGATTTCTGAAATAATGCTAAAATCTAGGTGCATCTAATAATGTAGACTCTCTCAGCTGTGCAATGGCGCAGCCTTAAGTAAGATTATGACACAGTCAGTCTGGCTCTGCCACCTGTTTTTCTGGCCCTCCTTATTGTCTTTGCAGTTCCTTTATCCACCCTCTACCAGATCTCCAGGGTCTGCCCTGACTCTTACAGACCCAGAGTTGACTGTCCAGAGGTGTTTGTACAGTTCTGTAGGTTCACAAATCATCCCTCCTTCTTTTTGTATAAGACTAACATTTCTTATATATGCCAAAAAGTGGAAATGGAGTCAAAGTCAGGGACATAAGTAGAATAGACATATATGATTTACTTGCCGAGAATCCATGCCTCTTTCTTCTGGTAAGACATCCTGGTTTTCCTTTGGAAAAACCACTGCTCACCCACAGCTATTGGTTTGCTGGGACTCTTAATCAAGTGACCAATTCTTGGACAAGGAGTGGGGACAAGACCTAAGCTGTACCGTTCAGACTTCCCCCCTTGGAACCTGGTTTCTATGAGGAATGATTCAAAAGAGGATGAAACTGACTTAATCTCTTGTTGGCAGACTGTGTTAATGGCCCCAAATCTGTACCCTTCCCTCTATCCCTGTCCTTTGTGACATCTATGCCCTCCTACAGAGGGTGACATATACTTTTTCATCCCTGGGGCATGTTACTTGCTTTTGGCAACAGGATGTCAGCATCTGGAACACAAGCATAGTTTTGAAAAGTGCTGGCACCATTGAATTCACCTGTGCTTGTGCCTCTGCCATGGTCACCAGAAGAACATGCTCAGCTGAGCCTCTTCATCCCAGGAGAAGGATGGGAGATGCCAGACAGAATTGTCAGAGAAAATACAGTGTACCCAGTTAAATATAAATTTGTGACAAACAACAAATGCTTTTTTAGTATAAATGTGTTCCAAATATTGCATTAGACACATTTATAAGAAAAATTATTTGTTGTTTACCCCAAATCCAAATTTAACTGGGCATCCTTGATTTTTACTTGTCAAATCTGGTAACCGTAGGAGCAGAGTCACCTCAAGAAATTCAGCCTCAATCAGCTGACTTCCCCACTTGTGCAAAATAAAGAATAAGTATTATTTTATGCTCCTGATTTTGATTTGTTCAGCAGCAATGGTTAGTATACATCATGAAAGGCTAACCACCTAAAAGGACTATTATTCTTCCCTAGTTTTTGCCACTAATTATTTGAAGTTATGGTTTGGATATCCAGAGATACAGTGCTTGTGTACTTGCTGAAGTAAAGTTTTTCTGTTTTCCTTCAATTCTGTGTTATTTCATATTCTTCCAATGGACCACCTGCTTTATACATCAGATTAGCCAGTCAATTTCTATTGCTTAAACCAAAGAATGCTAATTGTTGCAAATTAAGGATCAGCCATAATAGGGGGAAAATTTGAAGAGGGGACTTTCCACAGAGGTAAACTGTTGTCATCTCTGCCTAGATACTCCGTTGGCTTCCACATGCTAGCTTTGTTGCATGTTAAGCATTGGTTGAGTATCTGTCAGTTTGGTTGCTTTAAAATAACCTTAGATCTACAAAGCCATTTAATTCCAGCTGTGAATATTTTAATGCGTTTATCCTTGGTTCCTAACTGAACAACCAACAGAAGGAAACTAATCACTTCCAGAGTAGGAGAGAAAAGTGGTCAGTTGGCTCATTTCCCTAACCTCAAATAATTAGCGGTTATTACTTGTACTCAATTCAAAGTGCCATTTCTAATGGTACAAATTAGCAACGAATTAGTCTCATTAGTTATTGTTCATTCAAAGATGGGGCAAGGTGTATACACTACTGTGTATGTGGTGATGGTGGGGTCTTAAAAAAACACCATCAACTCCCTAATTTTTAACTTTTCTTTGGTACAGCAAGAAGAGCTTAAGCCCTGTTTATTTGCATATGTCACAGGCTATGAAAGAATATGGTGTGTCTATGTAAGAACTGGGTTCAGAAATCTACAGAATGTTTCTTGAGCAGCACTTGCTGTATTTAATAAGCATACTCCCAGGATTCAACAATGAGGGTAAAAATATATAATGCAACACATAAATGCCATCTAGTGAAACATCAAACATCCATCGAACCTGGCATTTGGTTTCTGAAAATGCCACTAAAGCATGTTTTGCTGCATGGTGTGGGAGTTTGCAGGATGGATGACAGGACTGGGAAATGTAGCACAGTGTACTAGATTGAGAGCCGGGGGATTTGTGATCCCACCCAGCCACTAGCTCACAATGCAACAGAATATTCTCTGACATTTGCTTCTGAATCCCCATCATCAGGCACTTTGTAGGTGCTTACCCAATTTTGAGTGAATAAATGACCAAACTATAACAAATTATTTAAATCCTTCTGAGCTTCAGTTTCCTCACCTAGCAATTGGAGGTACAAGGTTAGCATTAGGCAATATTACAGGATTGATATTAGGGTCAAATAAGATAACGCATGTGAACTTGGTCTATCTATAAAGCAGTAAGAGGTCTGACAAATGTACCTATTATTTATTACATACTAAAACTAGCTAATAAAGAAGTGTTGTCTTGAGCCCTCCTAGGATAACATGGTAAAATAGCCCATGCATTTCTGTGGCTAATGGCATTCTAGTTATATTTTTGCAGACTCCATGATTGCCAAAAGTATAGGTAATTACTATAATTTATAATTAATCATTAATTGTGGCATTAAAAATAAATTACCCCAAAGATCTGTATTGAGCTTTTATCTGCTATTATGGAGAGCTCTGCCAGTATGTTGAGCCATTTAATAAATGTCTGGATACTTTATATCTCCAATAAAAAGTGACACAAAGATGCAAGAATATATACCATGAGTGAAATAATTTTCACCATTTTTTTTTAGAAACTTAGCTGACTCTTTTTTTCCAAGAAAAAGCAGCCAAAATTAAATTTTGTCACAATTTTACATAATTTGTCATGTCTCCATAAAAAATTGGTCTTCTTTAATTTGTTGCCCTTGTAAACAACAGATGTTGCCAGGTGTTTTGTGGCTGTCATTGGAGTCTCTGAAGCCTTAGACCTTGTAGTAGAATACAACTGGCAGTGAGAATATCTTTTCCACTAGCACTAGTTCCCACTTCTATTAGGATCCATTTGCAAAGCAAGAAACATCAGCCTGTGGGGTCGGCATTTGAACCACATTCTATCGGAACATGATTTCATTTAGACACAAATTTCATGGGCAAGTAGAAAAAATACAGAAACTATAGCTTCTTTGAGTGTCAGGTGAAGCTGAGGGAAGAAAAAAACTCATTATAAGTATCAGTTACTCAAATGTCTCTGCCAGGAGTGATTACTAATGCTACATTCGTGCCTGCATTAAGTGATGATCCAAATAAGGTAAGAGGGATAATATGCTAACTATTTAGAAGAAAAGATAAAATGTATGCACAAAACAAATCTATGCTAGGTACCGTGTGTGGTAATGCAGTTAACTCAGGGAAACTGGAGCAGGAAGCTAATAGAAATGACATATTAAGACAATGTATGGTCAAGAAAAAGCCATCTTCCTTTAATCCTCTTTTCATCCGACAGGAGCAGTTTCTGAACTGCACATGTAACTAAAAGTTAGTGCCTGACGCTTCAGTGATGTTGTTCTCCGAGATGTAGCCGGCATTTTCGTATGCTGGCTAAGGTTGTAAGCTGGGTAAAGCATACTCTTCTGGGCCTTTGAGCCCTACATTATTACATTCTCAAGTGGCCTTATGAGTCCCAAGCACTGTCCCAGGAAGTCAGATTTACAACAAAACAGTCCCTAGAGACTCATCCAGACAGTTGCCATCATCAAAAAGTGTTGCGGGAAGTCAGGGACCCCAAACGGAGGGAGCGGCTGAAGCCGTGGCAGAAGAACATATATTGTGAAGATTTCATGGACATTTATTAGCTCCCAGAATTAATACTTTTATAATTTCTTACACCTGTCTTTACTGTAATCTCTGAACATAAATTGTGAATATTTCATGGACACTTATCACTTCCCCAGTGAATATCCTTGTGATTTCCTATGCCTGTCTTTATTTTAATCTCTTAATCCCATCATCTTGTTTGTAAGCTGAGGAGGATGAATGTCACCTCAGGACCCTGTGATTGTGGATTGTGTCACCGGCGCAAATTGTTTGTAGAGCATGTGTGTTTGAATATGAAATTTGGGCATCTTTAAAAAAGAACAGGATAACAGCGATGTTCAGGGAACAAGAGAGGTAACTTTGAACTGGCTGCTGGTGAGCCAGACGGAACACAGCTATATTTCTCCTCTTTCATAAGCAAATAGGAGAAATATCGCTGAATTCTTTTTCTTAGCAAGGAACATCCCTGAGAAAGAGAATGCGCCCTGAAGGTAGGCCTATAGAGGGCCCCTTTTAAGGTGTCCCGTCTTTTATGGTCTAAGGCAAAGGGATGAAATGAGCCCAGGTCTCCTATAGTGTTCCCAGGCTTATTAGGACAAAAATTCCCACCTAATACATTGTGGTCAGACAGGTTATCTGCTCTCAAACCCTGTTTCCTGATAAGATGTTATCAATGACAATGCGTGCCCAAAACTTCATTAGCAATTTTAATTTCACCTCATCTGGTGGTCCTGTGATCTCGCCCTGCCTCCATTTGCTTTGTGATATTTTATTACCTTGTGAAGTATGTGATCTCTGTGATCCACACCCTATTTGTGCACTTCCTCCCCTTTTGAAAATCGCTAATAAAAACTTGTTGGTTTTAAGGCTCTGGGAACATCATGGATCCTGCTGACATGTGATGTCTCCCCCGGACACCCAGCTTTAAATTTCTCTCTCTTGTGCTCCTTCCCTTTATTTCTCAACCAGCCGAGACACTTGGGAAATAGTAAAGAACCCATGTTAAACATCAGGAGTGGGTTCTCCTGATAAAAAAAAAGGAGGGTTAATTTGAATTAGATGGCTCTAAATAACTTAAACATGGTAGCCATGGGACAAATAAATGTTACATAGCTCATTTATATACCAACCAGTGGTGAAAGTTCTCTGCTGGTGACACATGTGTAGTGTGGATATCTGCGAACTGAGAGTCCCTTAGTCTGCCTAAAATCAAGGTATATTAAATTGAAATCTTTCTATATGTATTAAATGTTCACAATCACCCCAGAATCTAAGTGAGTGTTCAAGTTTAGAAATGGGACAAATTATCCAGACACCAGCATGTGCATTCAGCTAAGGGTGCCCATTATTGCTGCTTCAGCAATAGGTGCAGTCTGTGGGATATCAAGTGGCTGTTCCCATGGATGGGTCATTGCCTTGCTAAATAAAAGCAAATGGAACCCTTCTGAGTCTGTTCACTGAAGCTGCAGTTACTCAGCAAGTCAGCAACTTCTCTGAAATCTCATATTCCCAGACTCTTATTCTAGCCATTTGGATATTTGTTTTTGCTAATTTTGGAAAGCCTGCAGATGCTGATTTAAGTAGATAGAATGAATAAAATTACTATCTTTCCTTTACCTAGGCAAAATATCTTTTATGTTTCTGGTACGAACAGAATAGGATTTAGATACTGTCCAACCAGAGCAGATGGTTTTACTTGGCAGAAATGTGGGTAGTTAACAGAGGGAAGCTCAAAAAATATCAGGCTACCTTGGGTAGGTGGCAAATAGCAATTGAGTGAATTCCAACTGGGAAGTGGCACCCTAAGACATTATCAGAGAAAAGAAAAGTGTACTTTTCCCCCTTTATACTCTAAAAGACATATTTTTCTATGTGAAAGGAAGTTGCATGGTATAATTCTTAGACAAGATGAAAATTCGGGTTGCATTCCTGGCATCTACCAGAAATCCACTCCTTATTCCAGGGGA